TCAACAAACTACTAATCAGCATCGTCTAGGAAAACATGCTATGTACATGCAGACACTTAAAATAAAGCCTTATACTATATATACAGATATAAATAATTTCGGCTGCAATAAATCTAGTACTATAGTAGATTTTCACAAAAATAATGCCGTGCGAGCCATTTTCAACCAGTCCGGTCATGCTCTAATCGCTTAAGTCCCTATCTGGTCTCTATAGTCGCCTTTAGTCGGACTGAGTACCGGAGCCGTGGCAAAACTTCGATATTGGCAAATGAGCTATTCTAAAAAATGGTGGGGTGTGTGATGTATATTCTAGCTGGTGCGAAACTGACTAACAGCAAAAGAGTCTATATACAAATGTGAAGGTTCACTATTTTCTCGACTGAATTACAATATGGTACCTTCGGTATCTTGAATGATTACTTCCACTATGTTCCTAATGATCCTCCAATCCAGCTGGTTATAGTCTATCTTCGGCATGGCTAATTTATGTACATTGGACTCAAGTACGTGCTCCCTCAAACTAAGTAGTCTTCCCATACATCATAAGTGGATCGATCGTAGAAAGTGTTATTTCTTACAAGATAGAAAAGGTAACGTGATCCATCTTGAAATTTCAAAGCTTTTCTAGGAGCTGGTAACTAACATTAAAGGTAATCGACCATAATTCTTCCGGAAAGCAGATACCAGTCCTTGTGCGGCGTTGATACTGGCAGGAGTGGTATAGACCAGGGAATAGTTTTTTGGAAGTGTGAACAGATTTGTCTCATCATAGCTTGCTTTCCCGGTACCTCAGTATACACCCATACATTCTTCAAATGCAAGGTCAGGGGTTTCTTGGAATTGTCTACTTCTACTTGATCATAGTCATCCTCAAATGATGCCAGCCGGTTTTTATGCACTACTTTCGATTTTCAGTTTGGCACCTTCCTTTTCTGATGAGATCTATTACTCACAACACAGGTAGAACATGTCTTACACCACTACTTTAAATCATCGAAACTGTTCATCCAATAAAATCTTTCACGAACTCTTGACGGGTTTTCTTAAAACCGAGATGTCTTCCTGATGGACTGTCATGTATCTGATGAAGTATTTCGGCTACTCTAGTCTTTGGAATTACCCAACTGTTTTCTGTTTTCAGAATTATCCTCATTTTGGATTACTCGCTTTAACAAGTCTTCTTCCAGGATAAAAGAGTCCCACTCAGCCAAATACAATTTAACTACTGGAGTTTTGATATTTATTGTCGAGTAGGTGTCGGTTTTCCTTTTTTCCATTGTCGTCCCTTCTTTAAAACGGGATCGTTCTCTTATTCTTCTTTAATTTCGGTAGGGGCTCACTCATCGTTACCTACCGCATTGTTCTTCGTAGTGCAACATCTTTAGCAGACGTGACTTTCCGATCAGAATTCCCTGACCAACCCCTTCATTGCGTTTCGAAGGTTCCATCATGACAGGCCTTCTTTCTTCCACAGTTCCTTGTATCCGCGTTACTCTAATGGTTTCGATTTGTAGTGATCCTAGGACGGTTACGCGAACTGAGTACATTTCCAATTTCACCGAAATTCCAGCGCAGGCTTTTTATTATGTTAAACAGTTGGTCGATTTTATATTCCTCTCCTTTCGCTTTTACACTTAACAGTCCTTATTTCACTTTATCCACCAGAAGCCATCATAGTCGCTTCAAATTCAAGAGCGGGACAAGACGTCGACAAATGTTTTGTGACGGGCTAACGGAGTGTTCTTTGCATTTCATGGTCACGGAGTCTATTAACAAATGCTTGGATATTCTTGAAGGCTCTCGTCTTCGTTCTGTTTGCGGAAGAATTTAAAGAAATCATAGCGAAAATAGAAAGGTTTCCGGATCCAAATACTACACTAATTTATATCGACATTTATTTATACACTAATTTATATTAAAAATATGTGAACTGAACGATCTCTCAACTTGAACTGACTGACTAACGGCCAAAGAGGCTATTTATTCCGAAGATTCCACTATTTTCTTGACTGAATTATAATTTGGTATCTTCGCCAAAATTTGCAATTTCGTATCATTCATCAAACAGTCGAGAACTTTCTGGAATTGCGTATTCACCAAATTTTAGAAGTCAACGGTTCACGACGATTGTTTTGACGATGTCTATGGGCGTATCTTTAGGTGGGGTTTCGGAGGTTGACCTATTCCATTGAATATTCTTGGTAAACAGTACAGTATCATAAGAGGCAGAAATAAGGCCGATAGGGATATGAACAGTACCGCATTGGTTGAAAATGACTCGCACGCCAATATGTTTTTATTTTAGCTTGTCTGGTCTTATTTTATCCCACCCTTCTCTAATTGTAACAAGTGACAACAAAACGATCTTTTTCAACCACTAATTTAATTATTGACAAATGTTACTTTGATTTTTGTTTCCAAATGCTGCTTGTTTAAATCGTGACGGTGGCGAATTTTTAATACTTTTTTTTACAAATTTAACTTCCAAGTATTTCACTCTTCTCTGGTACAGGAGTAGAAATAAATATTAATTTAATCAACCGTGGTGGTGATTATCCCATTACCTTCTTTCAGCGCCTTTATTAATTAAAAGTTCAGTTTTCATTATAAATATGTAGTATGTAGTAAAAATGATAATTTATTTCGAGCTAGACAGCTGTACGAGACCATTTTTTACGTATTTGGTGTAGTTGCCAAATAAAAATAGAAAAGGAAAGCAACAAACGAGACAACGTGTAAGGATGTCAATGTAAATTTGGCGAAACCGCACTGTACCGACTGTCGGTCGCGTTGGGGTCCCGCCAATAACGCCAGAAACGCATCAAAAACGTCGTTCAACGACCACAAATTTCGAAACTGCCAAACGCGTTGCATAATCACGAGAAAAATCTAATAATAATGAGTTATAGTCCAGTGATGCGGAACTGAAGTGCTGAAAAGAACTTACAGTTCGATCATGGATTCTAAACACTTGTGTATAAGAAGAAAAAACAACTCGTTTGGTCGTCTGTGCGTGTGTACGAGCTTTATTTTTATGGTCCGCCCCTGATCTATTTATAATGTCTGTAATTTTAATAAGCTTTTTGAAATTATCCTGTACGACGTCTATACCGAGGTCTATACTTCAGTCAAAATTTGCAAAGTGAACGGCAAAAAAAATTACTGTTACAAATATAGTATACCTAGTGTACTTGGGAGATTCTTGACTCGGTAGGACAGATACCTAGATGCCATTTACACGGTTTTTTTAAAAAGCTTTTCTTACTATTATACTCAGAGCTAGCATTGTCATTACTTCAGCCTTAAGCATCTTAAAAATTACTTACCTGGTTGGCAGGCTTTAGTTCTCATCCATATGTAGCTATTTCAGGTGTTTCACAAGGATCAAATCTAGGACCGTTATTATTTTTAATATTCATAAACGATCTTTCCTACGACCTAAAACTTTACTGTAAAATTAGTGGTCCAGAAGATGGTTAAATACTGTTAACAGCTGGTATCTCATTTTCGTGGCTCAAAGAACCCTATGTATTTGATTAACAATCAGGTTCTACAACGGTGTAACTTGGGCATACAATTCAACAAGAAATTTACTTTCAGTGGACATATTGGACATGTCTGCAGCAACTAAATAATTAGGATAGTGTGCTAGAAGCTGGTCCAATTTTGATAATATTAAAACTTTTAAATTATTATTTCACTTTTTTAAGAAGCAAGTTGAAATATTGTTCTGTACTATTGTCGCCTACCTATCAGAATTCGATATTATTATATTCCATTGAAGCTTCACAAACAAATTCCTGAAGTATATGTAATTTAAATATCATGAACATTACCTTGAAACTTTCTAGTTGAAAGAGGAATTGCTTCAAATGTTTGACTTAGAATTTCTGATGGATAGGCGTATTCATGCATCTATCTCAGAAGAAGAAGAAGAAAACAATCTTTATTGTGGATAATCCCAAAGGGCTATCGATCGGAGTCTTTCTGCCCGTACTATTTTTTGTTATTATGTTATAATGTTATAATATTATGTTATGTTATTATGTTTTTTTTGCATAAACTTCTAAATAATAATATTTGTTCAAAATTGGATTACGCAATTAATCTTTTTTCTACAATACATCTTGCAGAATAATTTATACAGAATGTTTAACAAAAGATGTAATCTCTGTGATATTGATAACGATAACATACACAAAATCCTTGATATTTACGAAATAAATAGAACTAATTAATTCATGTTTTTTATTCATAAGCACATACTATTATGTTCCAATTATTTATAGCATTACTTTCTTTATTAATAAGTTTAATTTAAGTCCTAGTCATCTCCTTTATTAATCTTGATGTACTGGTCTCAATGATGCTTTAGCATTTCAAAAGCGTCACTTAATACATTTTCTCCATCCTCTTCAAACTAACGTAACACCAATTGTCATTTGAAATTTTTCTTTGACCCAAATAATCTTTCAGTTTCGAGAAAAGTCTGTAGTCGCTTGGGGCTCCTTTTTGTAGTTCCTTATTTTTAATATGTACATTAAATTTCATACTATCCCTAATTTATGGAAACGTTCCAAGGTAACTGATATTGCAAATTTTAGACCAATATCGATACTATGCAACTTTAGTAAAGTCTTTTTAATCCTTCTGCACAAACATTTGGAGTATTATATTACACCCACGATATCCCATCAACGTGGTTCTGTAAAAGGTCGATCTACAGTAGCAAATTTTGTTGGTTGCACACAACAAATTGAAGAAATTATGGACAATTGATTGCAAACTGATGTTATGTATACATACTTTTCAAAGGCGTTGAAACTTGATCATGGTATGCTTATAAACTAGCTTATCTGCCACAACATTGTTTCGTTCATACTTGCAAAATCGTCAACAGTATGTTTTTTTTTAAGTTCTTTGGCATTGATAAATTATCGCATAGCCGTAGTTCAGAAAAATTTGGAAAAAAGTCTATTTGTTTTTATCGTTTGTTACAGGCATGTATCGACGACAACCTAGACATGGTGGAGTTCTTAGTGGAGAACGGAGCGGACGTCAACAGGGGGGACAACGAAGGTTGGACCCCTTTGCACGCCACTGCCAGCTGCGGTTTCCTCTCCATAGCGAAATACCTCATCGAAAAAGGGGCCCACGTAGCGGCCGTTAATAATGACGGGCAGCTCGCCATCGATATTGCCGAATGCCAAAAGATGGAGGAGTTGCTGAAAGAAGAAATTAATGAACGAGGTAAAAAAACCTAATCAATTAATCTTAAGACTATTTACCGTTCACATTTGTCCTTTGGAGTGTTTAGTTTCTGTCTCAGCGTTATCTTGTAATCTATTAAGAAATGTCTAATATTGGGGTGGAAACTTCGTATATTTCAAGTATTTATTGTAGGAAACAATGTTTTTTGCTTCTACATAGTTTTTAGTACTAGATTCGTCGAAGTAGGTTATTTCTTTTTTGAGCTCATCTGACTTAGTCACTGATGGCAAAACAACCTAATGGCTTATTGCGTTTAACTCCATGCTAGTTCGTAGTACCTACTCTTGTACATATTTGTACAGGTCTTTGACGGAGTGTGTTCTATAGGTTTTTGGACCAACCTGTGGTTATCCAAATAGTGCCTGTCGTTCGCGATCTAATGTTTCCCAGTCGCATAGTGTTTGGCTGTGTCCGGTTCCTTGTGTCAAAGTCAACACCGTAGGTCTCCATTATATACGTCTATTTTGTTCAGGTGTGCCTTTACTAGGGGCATTCCCATGCTCAGTCATGAGTCCTCTTATTGTTTTCAACTGATTCTTATTCATAGAAAGTAGTTCTACTGTAATTTTTGAACATGGTTTTCCATGTGCCTGTTTTGGGACACTGTCCCAATAGTATTTGAATGTTTTCAGAACCCAGTCTTTTATGACACCTTAAACTGTACTTTTTCACAAATAATTTTACCACTTTTGTTAATTATTGTTGTGAGTTCTTTTTGTTCCGGTTTTCTTTTTCTGTCTTCCTCTTTTATTCACCATACTGTTTTATTACATTGCCCCATTGCTAAGTTCCGTCCGAATAGAGAAGATACCATTAATTACGTCACGTTACAAACATTTTATTTACATATAGTAATTGTTTAATTAACCGTTAATACGTATCAAACTTAAATTGCTTTCACCCTTTCCAAAATTTACTAAATGTACATGCCTCTGGTTTAGATGGTTTAAAACAGTAATTTCGATGCCAGAAGTGTGACGTAACGGTATCTTCTCTATTCGAGGGACCCTATTTACGTTTAATCACCATATTATTATTTTAATAGCATTTTACCCATTTGTTAAACTTAAAATTTACTGTTGTTGTTAGAACAATAATTTTGTCATAAGGATGAAACATTGTAAAATATTTTTTATTTGCGGTAGACAGCAATGAATCATATTAGCTATGGTAAATCTGTGTGTTATTTACTTATGATGATGTCACTGTATAAATCATTTAAAAAAGTTTTATTATTAAAAGGAAATAGATAAAGTTTTCCAACTAACAAAGCTCAATGCTTGTTCACGAATTAAAATGATTATTTGTTTAATTGTATCTTGATTTATTTTTTATCTAATCACTTCCTGTCATCAAATTCGCATTTCTCTGAAAATATTTTTCAATCGCCCATATTTTGTTGGTTCCTTCAATTAATATTTATTTAATTCGATTTTGATGAAAATGTAATATTTGAAATATTACAAAACGATTTGGTTCTTATTTTATTATTTTTTAACCTTTATTGATCTTATTATTTAATATCCTCACTCAACCCTTTGATCTTGTAGTTTGCTAGCCATTTTGCGACTATTCGAGCGAACTAATCTTCTCCATTCCGGTTGATCCTAACAGCAGACCAATACGTGCGGTATGTCTACACCGCCATACAAATAGAGATACTTTTCATATCATAAAAACGATACTATTACAAATCAGTCCCAGATCCTTAAAATCATGACAAATGCTTCATGTTACTTGTATAATGAATAGGGTTGCCAGACATCACGCTTTAGGCGTATTTTCCACACTTTTTGATTTGCTTGTACGCTCAACGCCACAGTATGAAAATGTCCCGCTTTTAAGAAAAATGCCACTATTTTTATGCAAATGCCACGCTTTTTAATATTTAAAGCCGTAAATAAAAAGGAGAAACTGGATTTATAGAAAAATATAAGGTGAAATCAGCTAAAGGACCCTCGTTGTTTACGAAAAAACACAAGCTGGGGACTATTTTTAATTAAATAGCCCAATTGGCGGATTCACCTAGAAATTTACTTATTTTTCCTAGAGTTTCAGTTGATTGTAAAACATTTAAGTTATTTAACCCTGGTTTAAATATAACTGTCGAATTTGCCTTTGTTCTAATAACTTACAAACTGACTAGACTATTAACATTGACTGTTATAAATAATACGCGATATTTTAATTATTTTTGGTTTCTAAAATGTAGCGATAAATATAATCATACTGTTTGCTTTACATTTATCTACATAAATTACATAAATATAATTATCGAAACGTTTTACAATCTAGGAAGTTTTGATTTACTAAAACAATTGGAAATCTGATAGATACAAATTAGGATAATAATGTGGATGTTGAAGGATTTCTTTATCTCGCTTGTCAAAAAAAAATCGGGCGCTCAGAAGAAGAAGAAAAAAGAAGAAGAAAAAATATTTATTGGGTATTCCCAAAGGGCCCATATAAAACATTTATCATTAACAATTCATTTATTATATATTGTAAAAAAAGAAAAGAAAATTATTCTTCTTTGAATAATAGCTGAGGATAAAGACATATGTCTTTTAGTAAACTGGATAGGAGTTGTTAATGCCTGTCTGTTAATTATGTTAATATTAATTGGTTTGTTGACAAATTTCTGGGTGAGACGTTGCATTCTTTCTGTTATAGGTTCCATTTGTGTTTTCTCATATAAAAGTCTATTTGGAGGCACTTCTTTCTGCTATCTCGATATTATTAAAGGTATCTCTTCTGCAAGATTGGAATAAGACAGCATAGTCGATTAGTGGTCTGCATATATATCTTGATGGCGGTTTTAATATATATGCCTTGATTCTTATATGTCAATCCTCTAAAATGTTTGGTTCGAGTAGGTAACTATTTTTTTTATATAGAGTATTTTTTTGAAGTTCAATTTGTCTATTATTACTCCAAGGTATTTAATATTACTTTGAGGTTTGACCAAGACATTGATATTGTAACTGTGAATTATCTTTGATGGTATGATTAAGTAAGATCAATTGTCACATTTCAAGATTTTCTATGTACGATGGTTCACTGCACTGTCCAATCTATGATCGTGTACAACTATTGAGGTATCATCGGCATCACCACTATACGTATTTGTGATGTTATAACAATAAATGTTGTATAAAAATGGTGAAAGTGGTGAGCCTTGGGGGACTCCTTGGGAAGCAGTAGATGGTTTTCATAACACATTGTTTATTTTAATTTTGCTTTTTTCTTCCTTCTAGAAAATTTGTAAGTACCCAAATGAGGCGATGTGGACAATTTACATGGTATAGTTTATATAATAATCCTTTGTGCCAAATGGAATCAAATACTTTGTTCTGAATTCTTTGATATTTGTTCAATTCCTGTTCAACAATTTTAAAATACGATTTTGACCAGTGGCGGCTCCGGTAATTTAAAATGGGTGTTCACTTTTTCCAATAATTTTATCATTTGTAAGTTCGATTTAAAACCTTGTACAAGTGTAGTTATTATTATAAATATCATACTGTTTTCAAGCACTACAACTATTAATGAATGAATAAATGAATATTATAGTTATTGTAATATTTGTTTTGTTTTTAATACGTTGAAAACCATCTATAAACTGACTTCTTCATATTTTGAGATTATTTTAAATGTAGAAAGCTTGACATTGATTTTTGTGTAAAAAATATTATATGAAACTACCTACCGTTTTTCAGTTTTTATTATAAATTTAATCATTTTCATAATTTTGTCATACATGTTAAATAAAATATTTTTTAAATGCCCTTTATTGGCAAAAAACAAGTGAACTAAAATGTATATTTTATAAGATCAGTCCCATCACAATACATAATATTACACAGATACAAACTAGAATGAAGATATATAATGCATGGCATTCTAAATTATAATTTTCACAGTTTAACAGACCCCCCTTAACCCCCATTTTCAATCAGATTATTTTCAGAATCAATAGGCTTCATTCGATTGTAGGGCTTGATTTTTCCAAAAATTTTATCAAGTTGATATTATTGTTTGTTTTTGAGTTAGATTTATTTTAAATATTTCAACGCCCCTTAACCCCCCCTCTTTTATTATTTTTTTTTTACAATCAATAGGCCTCATCTCCTTATAGAGCTTGATTTCTACTAAAAATTTCATGTTGATATTGCTTTTCATTTTTGATTTATGATTCTTTTTTAATGTTAACCCCCCCTAAACCCCCATTTTAAATCAGATTTGTTTTTTCAAAATTAAAGGGCTTCTCCTTATAGAGCTTGATGTTTGCTAAAAATTTCAAGTTAATATCATTTTTCATTTTTGAGTTAAGTTTTTTTTTTATATTTTAACCCTCCCTAACTCCCCTATTTATTTAGATTTTTTCAAAATCAATAAGGCTTTATCCCTTCGTACCTATAGAGTGTCATTTTTACTAAACATTTCATGTTGATATCGCTTTTCATTTTTAATTTAGTTTTTTTTTAATTTCAACCCCCTATTTTTAACCAGATTTTTTCATAAACAATAGGATTTGTCTATAGAGCTTGGTTTTTGCCTTAAATGTTCGTTTTTGACTTATCGTGCAGACAAAAACCGTGACATCGGCCAAAGTAAACCTATAATACTATTTACAGACTATTGTGTGAAGAGTAGAATAATAATATAATCAAGGCTAAAATAATAATATAATAGCCTACAAAATGGGTATACTAAAAGAATGATAAAAGTCAAAGAATTAAAAATAGTTAATAGGTATATCGGTACTTCAGAGATAAACTGTGCTGTCATTCTAGTCAGCTTTTTTTAGTAGAGCAGACTGAATGTTGATTGAACACTTTTCGTGTTCTATATTTACATATAATAATTATATTTCGACAAGAAATTCAGTTGGCCCCAATTATTGTCACAATATGTATTGTTTACTAATAATCTAGCTATTAAAACTTTTTTTAATATACATGAATTGTTGGTTTTTGTAACATTTCTAGGTTCTAATAACAAATTTTCTATGACATACCTAGTGTCTTATACCTCCAACATGCCTCTATAAATAGTATGACTAACGTGAGAGTTAAATAGTGTTGTTTAACGTTTAACTTGAAAGTTTATTAAACATTGAACATAGTGTTCTTTTTTTTTCTATACATGGTATAGAATACCTGTGAAAAGGTCTCGATGAGCCGATTTTAAAAATAGTACCTTTATAAAACTGCACTGTCTACATAGTTTACCTCCCAGATAGATATATGTAAATATTTAATTTAGTCTTCATGATATAGGTACATACCTAACATAGACACAACTATTAAGTTTCTTGAATTAATTTAGGCCAGTGCAATATTTATATTTTATTTCTTCTTTAAAAAAACTGTAATAAAATCCTCAGTTCTATATCAGTCTGACACTGTTTATCAGTACCTCTGGCATTTATAGATTGGGCATTTTTCTATAACTTCAAGGGACAACCTACAAAATAAACAATTATTCATATAAAATTGTAGTAGGGTCAAGAAATTTGGAAATAAACATAACCTCAACAAATAATAGTAATTTTTTTACCCGTGACGTTTTTCGGTAACAATCGTTGAATTGACACACATACTTTCAATTTATTTAAGTCGCAGTTTTATTTAAACTTAATTTTTAATACAATTCACAATTAAAAGTGTCTCATGTTGATTTTTAGAATTTGACAGCTTGATTGGAAAGTTAGAATATGAAGTAGGTAGATACGGAATAAGGACTATTTTGTGATATGACAAGTGAAGGTACTTTGCGTCATATTTTGATTAATTTTAAGTTAATAATTTTATATTTGTAGATTGACGGAATGAAAATGTTTTTATATCATTTAAATCACGCTATTTTAAAAAATTGCATTTATTATCACCAAAACTAACTAGCTCGAGTTTGACATATGTCGTAAAAGAGTAATGCCAAAGTGCAGACTGGTTTAGTACCGTCATTGCTTCTCTATGTCTATGATTTGAAAGATTGGTATTGCCCTACTTTGTGACGTCACTGTGTGCGTTGCGCAAATTAGGGTGATTAAGTTATTTTATAACTGTTTCACTACGTTTCAGGGATCTGTTATTGTGTGACATCTTTTTTTAGCTAGAGAGATTTTCAAGATCGCCTCTCACCCCTTCTGGCTCACTTATAAAAGCGCGCCACAAAAACGCGATTAGCCAGAGTGCAGTGGCATACCCAAAAATAGATATTAACATGCATGAAAACAATAAAATTATTAAAATTGAATTAATATTTTTATGTTATTTATTTTAAAATAATATGTTTTAATGTAACTGCACAAATGAACCAATGGAGAAACCGCCCCTGATTTTGACGTTTTCACTATATTTATGGTTCTAAATAAATATATATTTTTTTACTTAATGCAGGTATTGATTGCGAGGCGGCTAGAAATGAAGAAGAATTGATCATGTTGAGGGATGCCAAAGATTGGTTAGCGACTAAAAGTCCTTTAGTCAATGTACCACACCCAAAAAATGGGGCGACTCCCCTACATGTAGCATGTGCCAAAGGGTATTCTGATGTTATTAAGTAAGTAACGAATTATTTTATTCAGGTTTACTAGTATTTATAGTCACTTTTGGATAAATTATTTGGAGTAGGTTGATTACATTTCAGACAGATTAAAAACGAATCGCCATTTTTTGCCGTTACTACACTAGCGAATTTTTTAGAATTTTAGCTAATTTGCCAGCTTATAGTTCAGGGACGGATGCAGAACCTTTCCGGGAGGAGGGGGACGGGGGGTCAATTTGCTTGTATCGTAGCGTAAGGTTAATTTTGTTTCCATTGAATATCAAGGTCAATGGCGGGGTTATTAGGCAATTGACCCCCTTTGTTTCCTCCTCTGTTATAGTTACAGGGTGATTACACACCACATAGGACGTCATTTTCTTCAGAAATTTAGACAAAATTAATAAATCCAAATCAGAGGCAAGTCTGAGAAAAGTGTATTGTATTATTGTATTAATTAAAGTCATTTCATTTGTCCATTTTTTATTGTCTTCTAATTGGAATAAAATTGCCTCTAGACTGGAGGAGTTTAAAAGGGGATAAAATTTTCATCAAACATTTTTTAAATTGATCAAAAAAGCTATATTTCCGCAATAGCCAGACCTGTATGAATATACAATGTTCAGTGTAGTATTTTTTATTTTTGTTCAGAATATTATTACAATCTGGAGCCGATATTGATGCTCAAGATGTTGACGGATGGAGCCCATTGCATGCTGCTGCGCATTGGGGCCAGAAAGAGGTGTGCCAAATTTTGGCCGAGAATTTGGCAGATATGGAATCTAAAAACTTTGTTGTGAGTATTGTACAATGTTCCAAGCTAACCATTATGATAGTTTCTATGTCATACTTAACATGTTTTAAATGAATATAGGGACAAACAGCTTTTGACTTATGTGACAGTGATATGTTGCCTTTCGTTGAGGAGCTTAGGAAAAAGCAAAATAAAGAAGAAGTATTTAATAGAAGAATGGCGAAAAAGAGAGTGGACGTCAACGATAGAAATTTGGAATCGGAAACACCTAGTAAAGTTAAAAAGGTCGATATTGGTTCCGAGAACGAATCCAAAGTTATTGAAAATACGGGTGAGTTTTTTTTTTCACAAATTTTCCTATTTGTTCAAAAAATTAAAATTGAACTAAAGTTGATTGTCTAAATTCAGCACACTTTTTCAATAGAATGTACAGGGTTTTATTTTATGATTTTTTTACTTTGTTTTTGATGTTTTCTAGTGCTACTTTTGGGAAAGTACTGTTTATTAGACCCCAACATAGAATGGGCTAGTAGGGAATCCTACATATTCATTATAATTAATTTTGAATGTATTAATTAGAAAAATCCAGACTCTAGTGACTGTGTCACCCACCCTTTTTATTTTACTTATCTTAATCTTTTTTTTATTTTTCTTTATTCTATTTATCTTAATTTCATTTTTATTTATTTTTATTTAATTTAAATCTTTGGGGCTGAGTTTTGAGGCAAATTCAAAAGTTTATTGTAAGTTTAACAAAACGGTGGGATAATTAGACCCATTTGGGCTAATGGGTTACCATTTAATGAAAATAATAAGATTACCTTACATTCTTTTGAAAACCGCACCAAAATTTGATAATACGCAGAGATAATTTTCAAAAATAGCTAATGACTATTTTTTTGATTTTCTTGCCGCTATAAAGACATGGACGTATCGAGCGAGAGCGAGTCGGATTCAGAAACAACTGAAAGCAGCTCTGAGTCTGAATCGGAAAGCTCAGACGAGGGTAAATTTAATAAATGTACAGTTACTAATTGTTCCTAATATACATTAAAATGTATTGCGTTATTTTAATACGTTTTACTGAACAAACGATTTGTATATATGTATCGAAAATATTGGAAAACATTTTATCACCAATTATTATGGGTAAAAATAATGAAAAATTTGCGGTACACCAGATTTGCTGCCTTTATTTACTGGAAAAGTTACAAAAATGCTCGGACAGGTCGATTTTGTTTTTTAGATACGTTTAATGTATGCATATGTTTTATGACATCATCACTATTCAATAAATAGTAACCAATTTAAAGAACACTTTTTTTCATGTATGGACGTCAAATTTTGTGATATATTATAACATTAATTTTGAGAAAAAACCTTGAAAACGTTATTTAGTTTTTGTAACAATGACAAATTTTTTATTAGGAAAATATTGTTATATCATGAAATTTGCGACCATATACAAAAAAAATCTCTTTAAATTAATACTATCAAAAAAGGTTATGGTGATGACTTAATATCCCGAATAGCAGTGATGTCTAAAAAAATATAGGTATATCAAGAAATGCACTCATAAAAAGTCGACCTTTTCGTGGCATTTTTTGTTATCTGTCCAATAAAATCAAAAATCTGGTGTTCCGCCAATTTTCTTCAATCCTGTATAAATATATTTTAATAAAATGGTATAAAGAATACGAACATGTAAGCAATATATTGAATTATCACTGGAAGACTGAGATTTGACTACAAAAAAATAAAGGAATGCATACTAATGAACAAAACTTATAATTCATACATTTTTGTTTTCACCCATATTGTATTGTCTCGAAGTATTTTCTAACATTTTCGTAATTTTGCGGTAACTAACATCTAATAAAATGCCATTTTTTTTTTGGAAGTTACTGTAAATGTATAACTTTTTTAATGAAATGATACAATACAACAACCAATTTCTAAATATCACAGCATACAAGGCACAGTCAGGAATTAGCCGTAAAAGTGTTAAGTATAATATACCCCCTGCTATCACCCCAATTCGGCTGAAGAGTAGTGGCACTGCAGCCTTCATTTTACCACCATTGGAAGGTCCTACTGCATCCACTCCATGTATTAGATGGTTAAACGCTAGTTCCGTGGTGGAACTTCTCAGCAGTCACTAGGAGTACTGACTGCTGATATGTTGTGAGAATGTGAATGCGCACTAATCTCGCGGTTTGACTGGTGTTCACAGCATGGGTTAAAATGAAACATTTGTCTGATGTGCCTCATTGATTTTCTTCCGATACATATTACTAAACTTTTGTTAGTTTTGTGGTTATATGTATAGAATATGTTTATATCAAAGGTTTCTCAGATTATTTTTACCTCATGATATCATTCTAATGGGATCAAAATATCAACAACTGTTAAATTTAAGAAATTTAAAAGAAAATAGCTTTCTTAACATTGCAAATAAAATTATAAAAAGGCTGAAAATAATAGTGATTAGGGCTCATACTATATCCCCATTACACAGTTTGCTCCCTAATTGGTCAATTCTTCTTTCTTTTACTTTTATTTCTCTAGTTTCTTTTAATTCACATTCAATTGTAACAATTTCTTTTCATATTGTATATTATTGACTTCCTTATTCATTTCCACATAATTTTGTATCACCTTTCTGGCTATTTTCTGACTCTGCCTTGTATAACTTAAACTAATGAAATAACTAATAAAATAAACAATATTGACATAAATACTTTACATGTTTACTTACAACATAATTTATTTTAAACAATTTTCCAACTAAATCATGTGTCTTTAACATCAACATTTTTTTATGGCCCTATTAAAAATGCTATAATACATTTTTACTACAGAAATTAAATAAGCAACTAAAAAATATTCACTCATTGGAGAATGTGGACGATCTTAACAGATTATTAAAAAATTATTGGAAAACTTGCTTAAACTTGAAGGAAAACAAAATTTGGGGATGTTTAATTTTTGAATTATAAAATTGAATTCATTAACTAATTATCACGAAAATATTATGGAAATTCGCAATTTTCTGTCTAATTCTGAGACACAAATTATTGTTAAATTATGTCTGTCATATACAGTTGCTTACACGTGTGTCATACTTAATAAGTATATGAAATTTTTCAAGAAATTTTAGTAAAAAAAATATTTGTTATGAAATTAAAACTGGGGTGACTAATGTTTAATCGCTGGTAGACCAAATTTGAAATCATAAAAAATCACAGCATGATAATTTTTAGGGGTATTTCTATTTTAAGAACATACCAAATTAAACGTATGTTCGTAGATTCGTAGACCAAATAAGACTGTCTGTTCTTTGTATACTTTTTTCTTGTGGGTACTGAGTGTATCTTTAGACTTAGGCAAATATGCATTTAAAAGTCGAGTTTATGCGCAAAAATATGCATATTCGAGTCCAAAATATGCAGAAAACGTGTCTTGAAAATTATTAAAAATTATTAGTTAAATATGACCCATACTTAAAACTTTCATGAAATAAACTCAATTAGATAAATTTAATAAAACTACAGATTTAAAAAATAAATCACTAAATATTTTTCAAAATTTGTAACCAAAAATGTATGTTTTTTATCTGAATACATGTATTTATAAATTGAAAAACTTCTTTTCACATCTACCGACGCGACATAACATGTATATTTTTTAAATGAAGTAATATGTTAAAATTTTCATAAAAAAAATTCACTTCAACAAGTGTCTTAAATCCAAGATTTTATCAATCGTTGGGTTCAACTTTTCAAAAATTTCGGTTCCAATTTTGCCCATAACGTTTTTACAAGACAAAGTGAATGTATTTATTAAGTTTACACTTTCTGTGAGTGCTATTTTTTGTTTTTCCAACTTTGTAATAGTTCCCCATCTCATCATAACTGCCTGAGGAGGAAGTGGAGTATTAGGCAAGAATACAATTGTATTCTTAATGGTGCTTTTTTCATATTGGATACCAAATCGTTGACAACAGGAATTAACAGGATTAATAAGCATGTCACATGAATTAAGTTAGGGTAAAATATCTGTAAATTTTTCCCTGCCTTAGGGGCCTACTCAGTCACTCTAAACGACGTCGTTAACAGAGGATAATCGTTCACAGACGACTTTTCTTATTCAGTAGACAACGAATATTGTTAAAGATGGTTGCAAAATTGTCGTTCATCAACGATAACCACAGAGCTATCGTTAATATTATGAAATGTCGTTATAGTGACTTTTCCATCCCTGCCTTTTGTTTCACCTTGGGCCAGGATGTGTTCTAAATAATAAAAGCACTTTTTTGTTACAAACTTTACAACTAAATGGCCATCGATCTAGTATAGCAAGTACAATTTATAAGGGAATTCATTATTTAAAAATTAATTCTGATTAACAAGTAGGATTGGCAATTCGACCATTTACTGTTGGATTCTAATTAACAGTGCTATTATTAATAAAGTAGCACTGCGAAACAGTAACAAAACCTGTATTATGGAGTTACCTATTATAGTACTCATACTCCGTAACCTATACAGAAAACGAGGCTAATGGCCTGAGTCCTGAGTTGTCGAAGTCGATGACACCAACAAAAAAGATAATCAGGCTTGACAGTATCGAATTTGCTTTCCATCTTTCTAATCTAATAAATAACAAATCGTACAGTTGTTGAGTTGTTTTATATATTCTTTTGGAATACCTAGTTCTCATTTTTTTAATGTTCATACTCGTTTAAATAAACCCCACATATAATATCAAATATTCAACTAATCACCTCGAAATACAAGTGCTGACTAAGCGCCGCGCGACAGGCAATAAACGCTACCCCGAGACCAATCTACCTGTCGTCCACTTTGGTCTCTCTCATTGGTAGCGCCTTGCGAAATGTGTTTCATATAATTACATGTGTTCAGACGTTAAGAGACCGTTTTTGGTCTCCTTCGCCGTCGCTTCTGCTGTCGTATGTCGCGCGTTCCCAAATGGCACCTTTATATGGCTTGATTCACTAATATTTTCTGAATTATTCACAAGATCACAAGCTGTCTTATTCGAAAGCTAAAACAAACTTACCATTTTAAAAATAATAAATTACCTAAAACCTACCTAAACATTAAAGTGTGTATACCCTCATAATGGATATTTCGCAAGTTCATTCCGAAAATATTTATGTATACCTAGAACTAAAAACTATACCTAACTGACAAGGTTTTATGGTTTGCAATTCGGATTAGTCGTTGATAAATTTACCCATAAATAAAATGAGGAACTTATAATGTAAAATAATGTCTAAAAAGCAATTTTTATTCATAATATGCCAATATTTAAAAAAAAATGCAAATAAATCTTAATTTGCATAAAATATACAAAGTGCATATTTGCCTATGTCTAGTAATGACCAATCACAATGTACTTCCCTGCTTAAAAGACAGTCACTAATATTTTCTAGCTTTTTACACTTAGATAATTATGACGCACTGGTAAATAACGACTGGCCTAAGTTTAATCATCTATTTAAAATTAATAAAATCATTAATTTTGTGTCTGGAATATAAAGGTGAGTTTGTTAATTTTCTGATGTTTTTTTTTTCTTTTAGAAAAGAAAAATAAGTTGAACGCCATCAGTGCTAATAATGAAATCACTAGCAATACAGCGATTGGACAGAAAATAGTTGAAGACAATGAGCAAATAACAGCTAGGAGAAAAATCAACAAACAAAATTCGGATCTAAGTCCAACGAAAATAAACGCTAGCAATAGTAAGTGTAAATTAAAGATTAAAAATGTAATTAATTGAACAAAGTCCAATAGGCAATTGACCAAAATAGTATTAATAACCAAGTAACATTAAAATCATTAATTTGATTAAAATGTAAGGTCAGATAATGGTGTTGTTATAATTTACTAAAAAGGTGATATTTGAGGCTGAATTAAACATTGTTGAAAAATAACCGGCATATTCTTAAATCATCATCATCATCATCATCTATTTATGCAATTTTCTTATCGACATAACCAGACTTCAGATAATACTTCATATCAACGCTAACAGTTTTACTTCGAACGTTTTAAATTTTGGATATATTGTAGTACTTGACCCCTAGACACAATGTTATAAAAGAAGAAATAGACAGTGGGGAGAGAAATTGAAAAAAAAATCTGGAAATCAGTTGAAATAAAACTGAAACTCTGTGACAAAGGACTCCGCGCTTTTCTTATGTAAAATGGTTTGAGATAAAGGATGTGTTAAAGTAAAACAATTCTTAACTTTTGTAATATCCTTAATAATTGTACACAGAGAAGTGATAGAATCCTGATATCAAAATATGACAATTGGCCAAATATAACTTTAGTAAAATATTGATAGTTAGCAATTTACAGGGTGATAAAGATGACATATTTTGTTAATTATTTTGGAATATTACAGTACCCGCTTTGTTGATATTGATAACATTTAGTAAACCATTGCTAGATATGATTCGCCATATATTAATTAAGTGTAATTTTTTCTTTTAGATTTGACTAATTCTATTGACACAAAAATTGACGCCGAAGTAACTTTAAGGAAGCCCCCAATTGTACAATCTGATAGACTGTAAGTAAATAAACGTATTATATCTATATTTATTATTCATATTATTTTCAACGTCTTTGTAATAATTAATTTTTTTTAGGGCTAGGAAAGAAGACAAAAAAGAAACCGTCAGCATTCCTGCCAGTCCCACTACCCCCACCACCACAACAACTAACATATCACAAGAAAAGACTTCACCAGTGACTAGTCCACAACCTACTAATAATCAGCAACTAAGAAGGTATGATGGTTTGAAATATATCGCAGTTAATATAAAATCACGAGATATTTTCAAGAAATCGGGTTAAAGTCGATAAAGTCAGATTGATGCAATTATCATTTTGAAACCATCTGTAGCTACGATAAATCAATTTCGAGTTTGATTAATTTATTTTTGGAATAATAAGTATAAAAAGTTGTCAAAACTCGAAATTAAAAATGAAAATTTTCATGTTTTCATTTTCATTTCATGTCATGTCATATTTTCACAATTCCAAAATTACAGGGTGTTATTGAAATATATCGTTGGTACACAAGAACAGTGACACAAATCAAAAAATAAATTTTCGATAACATCCGTTTTAAAGTTTAAAGGCCATGATCTTACATTTTTTTTTTTTTTTGAAATAAACATTAGTGTTTACCATTTATTCAAACTTTGATATCATTAAAAAACCCAAAAATATTATTCTCATACATAATTGGAGTTATGTCGATCTTCCAGAAAAGTATATTTCACACTATATTGATAATAACTTTTTCAACCATAATGACCTAATTTGACTTGTGTCACTGTTGAAAATAATGTTCCTAGTTTATTTTTAATAAAACGCGTATTTTGATTTATGTCACTTTAGTCGAAAATTGAGGATCTCGTCTCATTGACTGTCAGAGCACAGCTGGATTTGTGTCACTCTTCATCATCATAATAGAGTAAAATTAATATTTGTTTACGTGAAAATGACAGCTAAAAGTTTTAAAATGAAGGTGTTGAATTACAACACATCATTTTGTAGGTATTTACAAAGAATATATTCGGAATCGATGATCTTGAGTGACCTAGATTTTGTAAATTAACTACAAAAACTTTATTTGATGTAACAAAAATGTTAAGCTCTAAGAGCCTAGGAGGTCCATGGCTTTGTTTACAATTTCTTTCCTCAGCTTTTTGTTTTCAACTGTTTTACTTTCTAGTTACCAACGTTCAATCTTTTAATGTCTTCATCCTCCTTTCCCCACCTGTCTTTTGGTCACACTTTTCTTCCCTTCTAGTTTACTATCCAGCATTTTTCACCGAATCCCTTGGCCTTGGCATCCTCAAAATATGTCCTATTTATCTTATTCTGTGTGCTTTGATGACCCTGTTATATTTTCTAATTTTATTAATTTTTTTACTAACTTTATTAGCATTTTCCATTCCCATATTTCTAGTTTCTGTCTTAATATCAAAGTCTCGCTTGCAAATATTACTATTGGATGGATCATTGTGTTAAGTATCTCAATACATTTTTACTCTTGAACATGCTTCTGAGATTATACATATATTTATTACCGTTCATAAGTCACTTTTACCCCCAAATATTTGAAATATTTGTCCCCAAAGGATCTCCTTGGCATATTCAACCTGAAAAATATTTTATGCTTTTACATTAATTTAATGTTAGATGCACCATATTTACTATTTTTTTACTAATTCCAATTCTAATATTGCTTTATACAGCTCCTTCGTCTTAATTCTGTCATATGCTTGCTTAAAACCAATAATTACTATATTAATATTAGTGTCTAAATTGATGTTCATAACTTTCCGTTTGTAACTCTATTAAAACAAAAATTTGATCCAGTATTCCCATTCCCTTCCTAAAACAACATTGTTATTTTTCTACTATCTTGTTCATTTCATAACTAAGCCTGTTCTTGATGGTTATTGCTAGAATTTTATACATGCAATATTCAAAAGAGCTAATTAATCTGTTTTAATATTTACATGCATTTCAATAACACCCTGTATAAGTCATATTAAATAACTGACATGCATACTTTGCTTTTTTTACATTTGTATATTTGTATCAGCGGTCTAAAGTTACAATTAGGCGTTCAACCGCCTAAAGCTGCGGCCGCCTCTCCGCCAAGTCCAGTCAGTAATACTCCTACGACTCCGACAACTCCGGGCGGAACCAGACTGCAGATGCTCAAAAACTTCTTTAAGTAGGTCACAAACAAGCTAGTCGGTGGTTTTCGCTGGTTTTTGTGGTGTGGCCAAGAGTGGTCTGAAAAAAAATCGTTCAGTTCGATTTTGACTCAATTTTTGATTAACCTGGCCATTATCTGTCAAGACAAGTAAAACGATTGTTTTTATGATTTTTTTATAGAAGTATATTCAAAATATATTAATTCATTAAAAAAATACTTGTGAAGAAACACGTAGGTGCGTCTAGTTGCAAATAGGGTGTCGGCTACTGATCTTGAGCGAGTGGGAAAGGAATGGTGTCAGCGGTGCCATTTATACGAACCGACTGCGTTAAAACGTTGGCCAGGCAGTATAGGCTAGCATCGCTGGTATTGTTTCTTTCCTGCTTACCCTGTGACTAATAATAATTATGATTTGTCTTCCCATGTACCAATTTTAAGCCATCTACTTAATAAAACGACAAAAATATAATGAAAAACGTATTTTTTCAAATTAACTTTATCCCCTGTATATTTTGCACTGTAGATCTAAGCAAATATCTTTTTTAATAAGGTTTTTGTATAAGAAACGGTGCTAAATTAATACAACTTAGAGTGAGAAGGTGACCAACCAATGGATACTTTTTCTCATTAGTTTGGCACAGTTAAAAAAATAATTAATGGAAGTAGTGTTGGATAGTTCTGGCCTACTATAGCTCCAGAAACCGGCTCCGTTTTGGAGTACGAGAAGCACTGACAAAAAACAAATTACGTTATGTAAATACCTTTATTACTTCTCAAAATATTCTCCTTTAAAAGCTATACATCTTTGCATCTGATGAAACTAATCTTCTAAAACTTTTTCCTTCCTGGTACCTCCGAAATAAGTGATTTGAATGCTTTAACATTCAGGCGATGAAAACGTTATATACGCATTTAATTTTTGAGTTATTAATAATTGCATGCTGTTGCTGGTTAGAAACTCGACAATTCATTATATGTGAGCGCTTGCACCGGTATGATTCGTCAGTTTACGTTGTTTCTTCTGATTTCAGCAATTCCTTTCAATTAATTCATTTTTTGCCCGATATTTTAAATCTTCCTGTAGTTTATTGGCACCCTTTTTAACTGACTTCAAAAAAGGAGGAGGTTCTCAATTTGTCCCAATATTTTTTTTATGTATGTTCAGCGATAATTCTTTAACACGGTGTCCGATTTCAATGGTTCCTTTTTTGTTAGAAAGGGGGTACTTCAGGGGTGGTCCCATGTAAATTTGGTCAAAATCTAATAATTGGGTCCATAAGAAAATCCTCAAACTCTTCATTTTTTATGTATATTTAACGATAATGCTTTACCACCTTGTCCGATTTTTAGTATTCTTTTTTTGTTGGTAAGGGGGTACCTCAGGAGTGGTCCCATATAAATTTGGTTAAGATGTGGTAATGGCATCTGTACGTTTTTGAAGTCAGTTTTTTTTTTAAATTTTTAATTTCTATACTTGTAATGAGCACAAAACTTCGCAACTTTTGTCTAATTTAACCAACTTTCTATCTGTTATCGTTTAAGAAATAGCGATACTGTCTTTATGAAATAGTAGTGACTGTATATGCATCCACTACATAATAATGTCATTGTAAGCGCCGTACATGATTACCAAAATAAACGTATTTTAGTTACTACTTGCATAAAATAAGTTTAAAATACCATATTTAAAAAAAGCTTAAAATTAAAAAGCATTATTTTTAATCAAATAAAAATACTGGTTTATTATCTGAACAGTTCACATAATGTTGTGCAAACTAAACTATATATATTTATTTTAGAATAAAACTATACAAGACCAAAAATTGAGTTGAAATCGAATTTTTTTCAGACTTGTTTCGCATTTTACCATCATATTGTGATTAAAAAGTTCGAACATTTTTGCATGGGTTTCCCCCAAATCACTCCACTTCCAAGATTGTGTGAGGAGAACCTATAAAAGCTTTACCATTTTCTTTATACATGTAACTATTTCAAAGAAAACTGATTTTTATAAATGTGTCCAAAGAATCATTTTGTAAAACAGTTTTCATAGCATTTTTGTAACTTGTTGCCCAAGCTGATACTTTTCATAGCTTTAAAACGCCTGTTATTTCTCTCTAACGATTTTGCTTAAAATTTATGGAAAAATTAGAAGCTTTCCAGTGTTTGTCGAGTGTTTCCCCTATAATATGGAGTAGTGAAAACAAAATAGAACTTTCTGATTGACTTGATTCATGTTTTACTATATTTTTGTTAAAAAATAATTTGGAACAATGTATTTGCAACAAAGAAATTAAAAAGTAAAGTTTGATTAACAATTTGTGAATAAATTTAAACAAAATATCTTTTAATAATTAAAATACACATTTTGAAAAGTTAAGAGGTGTTCTTGTCTACCATCTACCATTTGTTGTTATTATAGGGAATTCTTAAAAAAACTAATAATGTAACTTTTCAAATTTCAAAACCCACGAAATTGTATTTCTAGGATATCGGGTATGAATAACTGAAATGTGAAAAATATAATAATTATCAAACATTTATTTGATACAAAGTGTGTGATTTAAGTTTTTAAAATTGGAATTTTAAATGCTCCATAAATATTTTAATCATGAATCAAATCAGTATACATTAATCCTTGGACATAGTCAGTTTTGACAAAACTATTTTCATCAATAGATCGTTTGTACCTCCTGTGAGAGACGAGGAGAGCGAAACGCAAAGGAAAGCCCACGCTAAGAGGGTCAGAGAAACACGCAGGTCGACGCAAGGTGTTACGTTGGAAGAAATCAAATCTGCTGAGCAATTAGTGAAGCAGAAAAATCAGCCCAACGGCGGTACTGCTAACGAATCAAAGGTAAGATTATAATAGAACAGTATTGGATAAAAATTTTTTCATCTTTATTCATATTATTTGTCGAATTTATGACGTTATCTGTGTTACTGAGGTTGACATTTAATCGAAGTGCCAGGAATTTCACCTTCAGGTAGGTCTCTCGGAAACTCGACAGTTTTAATGTATTGTAATAGGACCATTAACAATTAGAAATATTTATGCATTGAACCAGAGTTTAGACATTTCAGGGAAAAGATAATTTTGATTAAAAAAAAAATGTGATTTTACTGTCAGGCTATACCTAGAACAAATCTACAACTTTTTCCAATATATTTGTGGCTTATAAGGTTTAACAAATTTTAATGGGTTAGCTGACATCAAAACAAAAGTCTATAAAATGGACCAAATATTAATATACAATAAAAGCACACATGATAACTGCCTTGCTTTCTACAAAATTTCCACAAAAAAACAACTAAAATTTATTGTCGTGCGAGCTATTTTCGAACAGTCTGGCCTCAAATCCATTAAATCTCCCTCTCTGCCTTATTTGGGTCTCTTACGGCCTCCACTTTTCCCGTTACCAAGAATATTCGATGAAACGAGTCATCCCTGAAACCTCCCCTCTTGATACCGCATATGTTTCGTTATCGTCGATCGAGGGGCCGTCTAGACTACTAAGCGATAATTCTAGAAAGTACCGAACGCGGTGCCGATTTTTACCATTTTAGTCAATTTATGTGGAAATATTGTTGTGTCCACATAAATATTGTTAAAGTAAATTAGTGTATAAGTATTTGAGACATAAATTAAGTTATACAATAAATGTTTTTAGTTAAAATAAAATAAAAAAATAGATAAACGTTACATTATATTAAAAACTAAAAGACTTTATGAATACAAATATGACAACGTTGTTTCTACTAGCCAAAGACTCATTTTGCTACGATTTAGTTTTTTGTAAATGTACACAATTAAAATTTATAAAAATTATAGCAAGTAGTGGTCTAAATACAGGCAGGCGTTAATTAAAAAAAGTAGATATTTTTGTCAAATTGAAGAAGGACATCCAACTAATTTAATGTAGTAATCATAAATAATAAGACAGCAAATCAAAATCAATCTATATATAAAAAAATATAATTCAGATAAAATTACATGACAATCGGTATCGGCCTGAGGCCATCATCAGGTTTAAAGGGTAATTAACTGATTTAATAATTGCTAAAATGTCCCAAAAATACAATATAATATAAAACTACCCAAGAACCCTAACGAGGAAAGGAGTTGATTGAATTTCCAGCGGGGAAAGAAAATTGAAAGTAAAACATTGACAAAGCTTAGAAAATTATTACAAAGTTTATAAATATTACAATAAACGTAGGTGAATTCATGAATATAACAACATTGTTAAATACGATGTCTTACTAAACATATTTTTTTATCTTGCGGGTCATCAGTTTTGATGGGAGGGGGAAGATAGCATTTTTTTATGCTTTCGTGTTATATCGAATGAAAGCTCTTTTATAATTAAACTTTTGGAGGACGATTTTAAAAATCTATAATATGTTCGTTTGTGTTACTTTTTGTTAACGCTTTTTCGAAAAACACTTAAAAATAGTTGTCTATCAACAAAATTATCAATTCTACCTAGTTTTAAACAATTATTATACAGAACCTACTGCACAAGTACAACTTGCACTTCTTTTTAGTGTTACGTGTTATGACTTTGGTAGAAACTACCTAATTAGCCAGTCTCAGTTTAATTTAATTTCTCTTTATTAATGACGCTAAGCTTTGTAACTTTGTTTCTCAGCGCTACTTCAGGAACATTACTGTGAATGGTCGAGGAGGACGATTTGCATTTGGCCAACACGTTAGTTTAGTGATGATGTAATTATGGTTCCACTGATAATTAAAGTGACAGAAGATTTTTTGAGTGCATTTTATTCGTTTTATTTACCTAAATTATATCGTTTTTCACTTTTATAAATATATTCCTAAAGTAAGTAGATAACATGCATCAAATCTACAATCGTTTAGTTACCAATTACATACCTATTAGAAGAAAACTTAAAACAGTAGAAACGTATGTCAAATTTATTGATGTTTATGTTAAAATTTTGGTTAGAATTAAATGTCAGTGGAACCAAAATGACATCACACTAAACTAACGCATTTATTTATACATATATACAGGGTGGTAAAGTTTGATATATTCCTTGTTGTGGATTAAAAAAATGTTTTAACAAAATGTATAGGCTTGAGAGCCACATTTTAAAATTACATAGTTAAACAGGGTGTTGCTTGACATCATTTTTTCCTTTCTTCTATTTGGTTTGTCTAGGTTATATAGGGTACTCTAAAATAAAGATTCCTTTGGATAACAATAATTTTCTTGATTAATTTTATGTGTATCGAACACAATTATTATGAAGTTATTATGCGTTAGAATGAATATTAAAATAATCAAATTAAATTATATTTTTAAAATTTACCTTTTATTTTGACGCGATGTTGCCAGCTTTATTGGAAAATCCGCGATATCTTTTTACGTTTTTTTTTCCTTATAAAATATATTGATATTTGGACCCATTTTATATAATTTTTTTTATTATTTTATGTTAGTTACTTATTAAAATTTGTTAAACTTTAACATAATATACTGTATATTTTGCACTGTAGATCTAAGCAAATATCGTGTTTAATATGGTTTTTGTACAAGAAACGGTGCTAAATTAATACAACTTAGAGTGAAAAGGTGACCAATCAATGGATACTTTTTCTCATTAGTTTGATACAGTTAAAAAAAATATTGTTTTAATTAATGTATGGGATTAGTGTTGGATAGTTCTTGGGTATGTTCCTGTATAGCTCCAGGAATTGGGCCCCTTCTGTGTTATGAGGAGCACAGCCAAAGTTCGCAGAAATTATAAAACAAAACACAAATATTCCCCTTTAAAATCTGGAAAGAGGACAGGATTTGTTTACTGGATCTATATTTACCTCTTTTTGAATTATTTCTTTGAGTCTCACATCGGTTGTAACTACAGGTTGGATAGAACGTAGATATTACTATTAGGTATATTTTCTGAGGTTTGATTTAAATAAAGAATGCTTGCAATACTTTGCAGTATTCGAATCCGCGTATGATATCCATCTGTATTTAAAATACATCTTAACATGTCCACAAGTCTGTATACCACATAGTTCAATTCCACAAGAAATTACTAGTATACAGTTGTAAATATACACATTTTCATTATTTTTTTGCAAAAATTAGACAAATCGTCATCAAATATTTAGTGATCTGTATATCCTTAAAGATAAAATCGTCAGTGTCAGCTCAGGACGATATGGTAATTTTTCAATTACACTGTGAACTGTTACTGTGATTAATAAAATTCAAATAAACTAGAAGAAATCATTAACAAAGAAATTATATGTTACTATTTTAGTATCACCCATCTCAATTACAAATTAATTGTAGTTTACTGATCCGTAATTACACAGATAAGTTTAGAGGTCATTTGTGAATTAGTCTGTATGAGTTTTTTAAGGTAACTAACCTACGAAATAGTATTAAGCATTTCAGTAAAACCTCAAAATTAAACAATCAATTGCATATCCATGGGTCGAATGTAACATCGACTAATATCATTTAATACTTTAATATCTCATAATAACTAAAAGGGGTGCATGGTTTTAACATCATTCATTTTTTAACAGCCTGGGGATTCTCCTAACGGAGTGGTAGTAACAGCGACCATCACAACCGGTACTCCTACTGTTATAACGGCAAGGGAAATAGAAGAACCTCCCGCACTTCACGAGAGGAGGCCATCATGGAGGTTGCGGGTGGATAACGGCTCGAGCAAGGTAATTTTGACAGACTAACAATTAATTTTTTGTTATTAAGGATTCTCATTGAAGTTACGACTGACACCACATTTTCATTCTACATTTCTATTAATTTGTCTGTAGTTAATCTCTACTTACTGCGCTTCTTTATATTATGCTCTTTCTAGGTGCTTCTTGACCTCTCTTTTGGTTCAATAAAATATAGTCTAAAATAAGAATATACGTTTCTTAAACGTTTTCTTGTTTTTCAGTTTTTGTTAGAAGACGCCACCAAACCGGCCAATGAACCTCCCAGCACACCGTCGTTTATTCGCAGATCCAATCCAGCCAATGCCATCCAAAGACCTTCTTCGGCGCCATTGGAGACTGCAGACACAACGACGATAACGCTCCCATTGAGGAAACCTAAGTCCATAGAAGAAAAAGGTGCATTTTTCGTAACGGTCCCAAGTGAAATAATTTACTAATTGATACTTATTGAATTTTTTGCAGACCAAGATAAGGAAAACGATATAAGAAACGCGCAAGCGACTTTGGCAACACAGGCGGCTATTCAGAGGAGACGGAGGCCGAAGAGGAGATCGACTGGGGTTGTTTCCTTCGATAACGTTGATGTAAGTTCGTATTTATGTATCGTTTATTTATGACGATAACCCATTTTTTACCATCAGTACAAAAAAGGGTACAGCAAAATCTATTTGTAAAATTCTACTAGTTATAAAAGATGTTAATTGAAATACATACTGATCCCATTTGTGGGCAATTGCTCGATATTTCAATTTGTATTAATAGACATGCAAACAAGTTTCAGATTAAAGTTATATGGATTTAAAAAAGACACTTTTAAAATATTTTTAAATATACAGGGTGTTACGCATTTACCTGACAAATAAATTATTATTTATTATAATAACACTATTTTATTTCAGTTTTAGAATGATTTGGTAATACTCTATTTATCACTAGAACAGTTTTGAAAAATATTACAGGGTTGCCAAAAATTAATGAATAGATAATGATGAGATCCCAAATAAAATTTAGATAGGTTAGCAATGATTTCTGTGGTGGCATGCCACATCCAATGGAAATATAATTTAAGTAATATAGCTCAATTGCGAAAATCCATCGAACATGGTTATCTAGGAAATTAGCAATGAATTATCCTCGACGCCGACCTTTTTCGATTGTACCATAATAATTGTGAAGTTTAAATTTTCAGTCAGTCAGGCTATATCGTTTGAGTTACTAACTTGCCGCTCGGATATATATTAAAATCGTATGTGTATAGCACAAGTAGAAGTTGGAAAGGCTTTTGCCAGTTCTCCCCATTTAAACACATAAATTGACAGGTTTGCGGCGGATCTCAACGAAGTGAACGCGATAAATTGGCGTACAAAATTATTTTATAGGTGTTAATAACAATTTCGAGTAAATAGTTTAATAAATTGTGAATAGCTGTTGAAATTTTGTAAAATTATTATTTGAATATTATAATACGAGTACATCTTTAATAAGTATTTATAGTCCATAAATACATGCGATTGTCCGGTTCCGCCGGTAACAATGTAAAATTAATTATTCTATGAAACGACACTGGCAGGTAAACATTACTGCGAAATTTTTGAAGCCATCCGACGTGGTTTGACGTTTGCCCCCTCTCTACCTACCAAAAGCCTTTCCAACTTCTACTTTTGCTATATTTTATTACAACTCTTCACCAACCCTACAATTTCAAAATTGCCTACAATTTCAAAATTGCCTACAATTTCAAAATTGTTTAAATTACAGACCTATCGGGCGAATGTTTTGCTCCAATTTGTAATTTTAAGTGGTAAAAATCAACAAACATTGATTATGGTATCAGTAAACTTCGAAATAGGTGTGCAATTTATGTAATTTTGAATATTATATATTACGTTTTTTCATTATTGTATATTTTAAAGAGGAAATAACTAAATTATAGGTAAAATAAAAAAGTTACCAACAAAATACGTTAGTGATAAGGATAAGATACCCACTTGATCAAAATAGTTTTTCTTGATAGTGTGCCAATTTCTGGATTTAATTAACTTTAATAAATAATCACAAACTCTAAATGGATTTGAAATTCAAATGTTGCACTAATAAAGACTTTAAAAACTATATGTATAGTCTGTTATAATAGAAATAGAAATATTTTATTCTCAGTAATACATATATAAACATGTTTACATAGTCGTCAGTACACATAAATGGTAAAATACACCACATTTTACATACATTAACATACAGCATACTCATATAAAATTTAAAATAAAATAGGATTTTAAAAGATCATGGTTAGTAATAGTAATAAAAAAATATATAAAAAATACAATATTAAAAATAATAGTTGACATGTTTCACTCTTACAAAATAATCGTTAGTGTTATATAGACACATGTTCAGTAATATCTTTTTAATTTGATGTTTAAACTTTTTTCCTGGTAGATTAAGGATGTGTGGCGGAAGTGCATTATAGAATGAAATGCCTATTGTCCAGGACTTGTTTATTCTAGTTTATCATCACAGTTGCATGATGAGGGACTTTAAGAATACCATCAAAATAAGTAAACAACATATTATTTGTGTTAAGAGAAAAAAATTTAAGAAGATGAAATGAAGAGAAAACAAGCCATTGAGAAAGAAGATAGGTACATAAAAAGTCTAAAGAAGGTATTGAAAGCTATGAAGAAATAGTTCTTGGTGCTGAATTAGAATTATTTGAAAAACTAGCGACCATGGAGAAAATATAGAGTCACAAACTTATCAGATACCAAGCTAACAAACAGTGATGATAGAACTGGTTCATGTGTATGAATTGTTTTAAAATCTTATCATAAATTCATAAATATGGCTCATTTTAAGTTAAATTCTTTTTAAATGCAACTCCGTGTATATTATTTTAGAATTAAATTTGTTACGAATTTACTTATCTAATGATACCAACATGTTAACTTATTATTAATGTATGGTCCCTTTAGTATGTAATTGATTGATAGCTGTTTTATTATTGCAGATACAAAGAAAATTTAAATACAAAACTTGTACGACCATGTTTTAAATTGATTCTTAAATATACAGGGTACGGAGTAATCCGAACTACAGGGTGTTTGGTTTAAAAAAGTATAAATTTGATTCGTTGGATAGAAACATTCACAAAGAATTTAATGCTAAAATAATATACAGACTGTTACATTGGAAAAATGTAGTAAATTAAACTTATGAGCCATATTTATAAGAGGTTTCAAAACAATCCATATAAAATGAACGTTCTATTATCGCCATACGTTTGGCTTGGTATCTTAACTTACTTGTTAACTTTTCTTATTAATATTTACCTTAATTTAAGTATTAAATATTTTACTTTGTGACAATGTAAGAAAATTTTTGAAAACTCTCCAATAATATGGTTTAACAATGATCTAAAATCTCTAAGAAATCATCTTTCAACCGTAAAACTAATAACATACATTACAAAAGATCCAAATGACATAAAAACAAATAAGAAACTCAAAAACGAGTATAATGAAAAATTAACGTCTACAAAAATACTGGCTTACCATGAATATTTTATTCAAGCAAACAAAGCTAAGGCATATTGGTAATTAATCAATTTCAGACAAAAAAAAAACATTCTCTGTCAAATATAGAGCGTTTCTGCAAAGTCTATTAGCACTGATATACACTGTTTTTCGTGTTTCCTGAAAAAAACTGATTTTGAACATGTGTCGTTTTTGTAAAAAGGTCTTCAATTTATAAAGGAATTTCGTAACTCCTGATTTAAACACCAAATGAATTTTTTTTCAGTGAATATCATAGGATCTCTTCCTAATGTTTCAAATAACGAACTTCTAAGTTTTAAAAAATGTCCTGGTTAGCTTTTGTCTTATTTGTTTTTGAATCTGAATTTTTTCACACGATTAGTTCTCTAAATAATTATAAATGTGTTGACAATCATGAACTTAAAATAGTAAAATATGAAAAGAAACTTGTGATATAATAAAACCATTTACTGAACTGGTTAATTTAATTTTATCCACTGGTATATTTTCAGATGAATTTAAATACTCTAAAGTATTACCAATTTTCGAAAAACGTGATGTCTTAAAAAAGAGAAAATAATCATACCATATGCATTGTTTCAATATTTGGGAAAGTTATTGATAGGAGAGAGGATATTCTAATTTTCAGTTAAAGAGAAAAAGCGAGTTTTATTCCATTTTATTTTTTGACTTATTTATTTCCTTCATACATAGCCTATCAGCAGTAAAGGAGCTAAAAATTCAGATGTAGATAAGGCAGTGGGAAAAGGGATAACATGATCAATCAATTATATAGATTCAATTATTTATTTTAATTTTAAATTGAAATAGTTAACGAAAACTTTTTTTAATGGATGATATTTATACCAATTTTATAAAATACTTCTTTTAAGCTATTATCTATTAAAATGCGTGAAATCTTAACATGTACTATATGTTTTGCACTGTAGATCTAAGCAAATATCTTGTTTAATAAGGTTTTTGTATAAGAAACAGTGCTAAATTAATACAACTTAGAGTGAGAAGGTGACCTTTCCATGGATACTTTTTCTCATTAGTTTGGTACATTTAAAAAATAATCTTTGTATGGGAGTAGTATTGGCTAATTGTGGTCTTGTATATGTCCAGAAACTGGATTTTCTGGGATATGAGGAGCACTGCAAAGGTTCACAGAAAATATAAAACAAAACACAAATTACGATTTATTTGATTTATTAGTCTGATTGAGATTCCTTCTTTGTGTGGGCTTAGAAATATTTATTTCATTTACAAACAATTGTAAATAGTTTTGGTAAGGAAAATATCTGTTAACTTTACCCATTGGGTTGTAATTGTGGTTATTTAACCTTGTTTAAATCTCTTTTACACCTTGACAGCACCCCGGAATTTATCTGCTGCAATAGTGATAAAGTCTGTTATTATCGCCGTCTGGATTTTTAGTCAAACATATTCTGACCCCTGCAATATTTCGTATCTTCAATTGGTGCTACCCGTCTCCTTTTGACACAATTTTGAAAGATTGTGGAGCAAACCACATTAACAAAATTGGCTCCCGAGTGTTTCGGAGTTTAAGACGTCCGAAGTAATCGTTTTCTCTGTGGCGAGAAAACCGCTTCAAGAATACCTTCCTAATATTGAAATTTTAGTGATAGTTTTATATCCGTAAGAAGTTTCCCACGTTACTTAGGCCTCGTTAGGCCCATTGTAAATACTACAGGGGTTCAGGGCTTGCTTCTCAACTCTTGAAAGAGCCTGCTGGTTTACAAGTCATCGACTACCGACTACTAGGTTAATAACGTTGCCAAGAGGTGTCTCCAGATGCCCCCATTTTTTATGAAGTGGTGATTTGATGAGCTTCTACCACCATGATTGTAAATATCCGAGTATAGCGATTCTGTCCTTAGGTCCACAGGGCATTTAGTTTTTTTTTAAACCCATTTTAAAATCCCCTTTTTGAATAGTCCGCCAATTACGGGGTGACGTCATCTATTTAAATGTGAAGTTAGCTTCTTAGTGCTGATCGACATTTTTTATTCAAGAAAAGGAAATTTTGATGTTTAAAATTAGGAACATTACATCATTGTAGAGAGAGTAAGCGCATGCCTGTTATTAGTGACATGTAACGTGACGTCGCAACGCGACGCAAGTTCTTTAGTATGAAGTTAGTCTTCTACTCTCTGCTGGTCAGTATTGATAATTTATTTTATACAGTGTGGAACAGCCAAATGGAATAAATTCGGTAATAAATAAATGGGGGAAAAACCGTAGGACACATCGATTAGTATTTTTAGTTGCGCATTTTTTTTTAACAAAAACTTTTTATACAGGATGTGTCATGTAACAGTGGCTAATACCAACTTTTTTATTTTAAATGCAACACCCTGTATATTTTTAAATTTTCGGATATATTAAATGTTTTCCGATTTATTACAAAAATTAACATTACTAAAATAAAATAATTTGATTACTGTAATTAGTTACAACACACTAAAAAACTAATAAGTAATACTGTTTATTTCTTGATAATGTAACAAAACAAAACACATCTCAATGTAGGAGATGTTCAAAATGCTCGCCGCCTCTTGGCAACATCCTAATCTGGAATAAAAATGTCTTCTAACGTTACTCAACATCTCAGGCGTGACCGATCTAATCGCAAGCGTTATTCATTTTCTTAAGTCAGCTAGGTCGAGAGGTTTAGATTTGTATACAATACTTTTGACATATCCCCATAAGAAATAGTCTAATGATGTTAGATCAGGGGAACGTGCTGGGCATTCCATCGATCCTCGCCTCTCTATCCACCGATTTGGATATACTCGATTTAGGTACTGCCTGACATTGATTTGGTAAAGGGACGGTGCTCCATCTTGCAGAAACCATATCATATTAGCTGGAACTTGTGGGTTTGCTGGATTGGGATATAAGTTTGTTTAAGTTGGCACGACATTATTTTGGATCAATGCTAAATAATTATCGCCGTTCAAATTGCCATCAATGAAAAAGGCACCTATGATATGATCGCCAACAGTTCCTGCGCAAACATTAACCTTTTCTCTCATCCAGTGAGGATTTTCTCTATGACCAATAGCGGCAATTTTGACGATGAGAATGACCGTGAAGTGTAAAGGTACACTCATCAAAAAACAAAACATGTTCTAATTGGATCACCATAGTATCCAATATTGCCATCATTTGTTCAAAAACTTGCGTTCTCCTATCAATATCGTGTTCCATAAGCTCCTGAGTTGCTACTATTTTATAGGGATGCATTTTATTTTCTTTTAATGTTCGAATAATCGATGAATGGCTAATATCGACTATTGGGGCTGCTTGTCGACTAGAAGTATGTGGGTTTTCCTGAAACTCAAGCATAATATCCAATTTGGTATCATTAGTTATTTCATTGGTAGCTGTTTTTTTTTATCTGCCTTACATGTCCAAGCTCGCGAAACTGCTTCTCTATTTTACTAATTGTCCCTTGAGATAAACGCGGTAAATTTGGACATTTTTCATGAAATAAGCGAGTAACTTCCATTTGTGTCCGCGTGTTATCTCCATAACCAGTCATCTATGGAATTGTTATTTTGTGCATTTCTGTTAAATGAACCATTTTTCTGATATGCAGTTAAGGAAATTCAAACGACTATAACACTGACAACTACTATCATGCAGTCAGATAACAATTTGCTAAGGTCAGGCGTTTTAAACAAAAGTAAACAAAACTATTTAAGTATAGTTTTTTTTATTTCATATCAATTAAAAGGAAGGCTGAAATGATTTTTGCTTACTTTCTCATTATCAAGACCTAAATGGGAAATAAGTATTGTGTTGTAACGAAATTCTGTAATCAAACAATTTTATTTTGTTAATGTTAATTTTTGCAATAAATCGGAAAACATTTAATGTTTCCGAAATAGGTATAGGACATAGTACATAAAATATGTCTAGAATTTTCTGAAGAATCCAAATATTAAAAATATACAGGGTGTGGCATTTAAAACAAGAAAGTTGGTATTGGCCACTGTTACATGACACAACCTGTATAAAAAGTTTTTGTTACAAAAAAAGGCGCAACTAAAAATACCCATCGACGTGTCCGAGCGTTTTTACGAACACGCCCCCATTTATGTATTATCGAATTTATTCCATTTGGCTGTTCCACACTGTATATAAACATCTATGTAAGTAATTACTATTGCGGTTTTTCAGGAGGCTTTGGAAATGTATGCTTTAAAATATTTTTTTTTTGTATTGCAGGATTTAGATCAAGAGAAGGATTCTTCGAGTGGAAAAGACTGTGATGAAACTACTAAATTAAATCATTTGGAGGTAAGTGCTATTATTTAAATTATAAATACTCATTTGTGTATCCCAAATTTCCGTTTACAGCTTATCAGGTTAATAGTAACTGTTTTTTAATTTGAACATTGTTTATATTTCTATAATTAGTACATTTTTAGTAACACAGTGTCTAGGTACACGCGAAACGTCTTGAAAGAGTAGGTGAGCTGTGTGCAGACCGTTGGTGTTTACGCCGGTCGTAGCGAGGTATGGATTTAAATTTTTTTGTAGCGGCGAAGCCGCCACCCTACGAAAAGTCATTACTCCGTTTTCTTGTTGTCACGGCATTATTATTATTTGTTCATGCATGTGAAATTTGCCTCTAAGCTTTATAAAATACTACTGTGCTAGTCACGGCGTAAATGAAAACAAACAAGACTCATTCACAGAAACACCTCCCACCACAGCAATATGACGTTTCGCGTGTATTTAATTTTTTTATTTGTGAACACTTTAGCGTGTACCTAGCAACAGCGTTTTAGTAACGGGAATGTCACGACATTTGTTTTTTTTATACATGGTGGTCGCGACAATAGAGCGTTTTCGTCACGTAAGGATGTATTTTCCTATTTATAATAAGAAATTCTTAATATTGTAACGTTTATTTTAACCATTTTATTTTAATTTATTTTCACTAATATTCACTAATTTATTTACAATTACGCATTTACCAATTTATTTACTTTGACAACATATATCTTATCATATCGAACTCTCAACTTTAACTCACTGTAACAGCAAATGTGGTCTATTTATACGTAAGAAAAGCTCTTTTTCAATAATTTTATCAAAAAATGTGTTCTTTATAAAAAGTTCTGCATCCATCTATCTATCTATCTATCTATCTATCTATCTATCTATCTATCTATCTATCTATCTATCTATCTATCTATCTATCTATCTATCTATCTATCTATCTATCTATCTATCTATCTATCTATCTATCTATCTATCTATCTATCTATCTATCTATCTATCTATCTAATCTATCTATCTATCTATCTATCTATCTATCTATCTATCTATCTATATCTATCTATCTATTTATCTATATCTATCTATCTATATCTATTTATCTATATCTATCTATATCTATTTATCTATATCTATCTATCTATCTATCTGAATTAGGGTGTGGTTCAAAGAGCACTCGTACTGAAGCTCTAGGCTTATTGTTCCCCTACAGTTTTGTACCCCTTCAGATGAATTCAAGAATGTCTTATGCGCGCTTTCGAGATTTCTTCAGTTTCCGGATATTGTACCCCGAAGTACCATTCCACTTCCCATTTAAGGTTCCGGTAGTGGCATAGGAGTTTCGTCCCCCTCTTCACAAATTCTACATAGGGAGTCATCAGATATCCCTAAGAGATTTAGGTGTCTTCTAAGACAGCAGTGTCCCGTAAAGAGTCCTATTACGGCCTTGAGTTCGCTTCTGCTTAGGTTTAGCAGTTGATTTTGTCTGCTCTTGGATGGACCTTCTATGAATATTTTGGACTGTCTAAGTCCAGGAAGTTTCAACCAAGAGCCTTAGTTTAGCATAGTCTAAAACCTAAAATTTAACCATCATATATCAAATTTTATGAGTCGTATTATGAGGTGTTTTCAAAAATGCATGTACTTTACCCTTGACCAAAAATAATTTTTTTGACAAATCTGATATCTGATGGTTGTATTTTAGGTTTTAAACTATGCACAAGTTTTTATGAAGAATACATTTTTTTGATAAAACTAATAAAAAAAATTTCATGTATAGCCAACAAACACACTGTATAAAATGGTGGAGTTTCTCGAATGTTCTCGCTTTCACTAGAACTTGCTACTAAAATTCCAAATTTCGTTCCACTATAACCATAACATATATTGGCGAACCCACCATTTTATAGACTGGTGCTTCCGGTAAATTCTAGAATATTCAGATCGGTGTATCCACCAAATTCTAGAAGTCTTTCGATTCACGACGATTGATGACTAGCCATAGTCGTCCCTATAAGGGGATTCGGACGTGATTTCTTTAATCGAATATTTTTGTAATCGTAAAAGTGGAGGCCGTAAGAGGCTCTCACAATAATAAGTAGCCTGCTGTTTTATTTTACAAGACCAAGCGATTATATAGGCTGAATTCTTCAGTCTGCCGTACATTTATCAATATGGCTGACTGAGCTGGCAATAATGTTTTGACCTGTGTGGCAAAATCAGCTTTGAGATTAATGTCAAAAATTTGTTAGAACTGTGAAGTAGGCAACATGTTAATTCATACATTGAGCACACTAACAACAATTAGGGAACTATAAAACAACTGGCAACATCGCTGAAGAGTCCCTTTTTATAACTTAATAGGAATATTGTTGATGTGTAAATTGAAAAATAGAAAAAATTACGTTTATTAGATACCGGGTGTCATATAACATCGGCCAAACAGAAGAGACCTTGTGCTGATTCTGTCAGGAAGAGAAGGGAACTGCAGAACACATATTGTGCTACTGCAAAGATCTATTAAGACAGTTATAGTCTAAGAACCGAAATAAGGTCGACCTTCACCCATCTGTTTAATGGATGAAACTTTCTTTTTATTAAATAAAATGTTTTAAAAATACCGCAAATGGGTTGCCTAAGAAAATTCAGTTCAGACTATTTATTTTCTTAAAGTAAAAAAAAAACGACACCTTGTAAAGTATTCCCCAAATGCTTTGACTGTGCCCAAACTTTAATCAGCTCATCGCAGGATAGATTAAAGCTTAAGTTCAAAATTTGGTGTTTTTTTCTTCATCCATTTTTGAGTTATCTTCAAAATTCGAAATTTGCACTTTTCATCAAATATCTCAAATTAGGTATATTTTAGGAAAATCATGTATAGAGACAAAATAATAGAGAATGACATCATAAACAACTTTTATCATGATTCCTATACTTTCCTTATTTGTACAGGAAAATAAAAAATGGCCGTGACCGTATTTTCTTAGGCAACCCATTTGCGGTATATTTAAAAATATATTTTTTTATCCATTATCCATTAAACAGATAGGTGAAGGTCGACCTTACTTACGGATCCTGGACGTGAGAACACCCAAGGGCAAATAGCTACACCGGAGAACTATTTCCTGAAAGGATATCCACAACAAATCTGAAAAAGCCGAGATGGGCGAGGCTACATGGCCCACAGTCCTAACTAAATCTAATCGAATCTACCGGGTGTCGTAGGGGCGAAAAGTTCAGATGGGTTTATTTCTTCTAAAAGTTAAGTGGGAATCTTGAATTTTTTGGCGTATCAGGCAGTTCATAAAAAAACTTAATTCTACTACCCCTTCCTACCACCCCTCCCCATTTCACTTCAGACTACCCGTTTGTCAACATTTTCAAAGACACCCTTTATATATATTAAGAAAGATTATGAAAGAGCACCACTGTTTTTTGACTATATCCATAATAAAAAAACTTACAAGTTACATAGGTTCTGTTTTGAGATATTTTAATTTTGATGAAAGGGTAGTTTGCAGTGAAGTGGGGGAGGTGTAGTGGGATGAAAAGTTCGTGAATTACGTCCCATTTTGCATTGTTTCATACCTCAAATGCAAGATTCCAACTTAAATTTTACCAGAAATAAAGTCATCCAAAGTTTTCTCGTGAACGTACACGTGTAAATCAACACGTAAATACCGATACATTATTTTTATAAAGAAATTTTTACTTATAATACCACTAGTGCCTAAATTATTTCCAGAAATTTTTGCGAACTCATGGGATAATATTCCTGCTATGGCATAGCTAAGGTTGATGTTATGGTTTTGGAGAATACACCAGCCTTAGTGCCTTCCACAGTCTTTGACCCGTCTGTGTACCAGATATGTTCCTGTCGTTGGGAATTGGGTTCCCCGTTTGGTATTAAAACCTCGACTGGAGTGTTGAAGGAGTATCGTTTGGTTATGTGATTTGTTCTCATGTCTAGCACGTCCCCTGTTACTAACCTTGTGATATCTATGTGACCTGGTCCAATATTAATATTTCCCAAGGTGTTCCCACGGTTGTAAGTACCTAATCTTGCCTCCCTCTGTATCACAAAGTGAAGTGGTGGCAAGCCTATTAGTGCTTCCATTGCTGAGGCGGGAATTGTTCTCATTATCTCCGTTATTCCAAGACAGGCGAGTCCTTGTATCTTGCTTAGTCTCGTTATTGCCGCCCTTCGTTGTGTCTTTGGCCACCACACCAAAGCAGAATATGTCATCATCGCTCTTTAACTTCTTATAATGTATGCTTAACAAGCCAGTTTAAATTTAGTAGTTAATGAATAAATATTAAAATTATAAAAGACATTTTATTCATTAATTATCCTAAGATAGACCAGACAGCATCTGTCGAAAACACACAATTTAATAAAAAGAAAAGTAGTATATTAACTGAAAATCATTTCATACAAAATAATCAAATTAGTAGTTTATATAAAGAAAAAATTAAAAAAATAGTACAAAAATAAACATTTCTCCCAACTTTGTAATATTCTTTTAAACATTTTAAATGAATTGAAAAATATCATTTGGACACGACATGCTATTCAATTCACGAGATAAGCGTGTTACTGGATCATGACGACCATAATTTGTTCAATCCCTATTTTCATATAACAATGGTCTATTCCTAGTTCTTGATCAAACATTAAAGTGAAATAAAGCAAGCAGTTCCGGACAATTTATTTCACCATTTAACAACTTATGTAGTAATAGTAAATACGCATTATGCTTTAGTTTTTTAAGAGATATGGACTAGAAATTTAAAAAATCTGACGATAATTATTATCTATACAATTATAGGGTGTTAATGTGTCAATGTGAAGATGATAACATAGCCTTGGAAGTAGTTGTTTGTGTTATAAGGTGGCCGTATAATTCTCGACTAAAAATCGGACATGGCTGCATTTTTTTAATTTAATGAGTAAAAAACGTCGAAGGCCTGTGGTGCTCCGGAGGGCAACCTAATTATTATATTTTTAAGATCTT